TTCATTCAAAGCTCGGGAGAATGTGGTTGGTGTAGGCTTAACACGTTACTCAAACCTGAGTCTCGATTTATGTTAAGAAAATAAAAAAATTGTAAAACAATATCGGAGTTCGTATCGTAAAAGTTAGCATTAGTGCATTTTGTGCATTTTTGGTGAATTGTAACTTCATTCAAAGCTGGGGAGAATGTGGTTGGTGTAGGATTAACACGTCACTCCAACCTCAGTCTCGATTTAAGTTCAGAAAAATAAAAAATTGTAAAACAATATCGGAGTTCGTATCGAAAAAGTTAGCATTAGTGCATTTTGTGCTAAAATCGTAGTTCATCCGTGGTTAAATCAAGCTTGACACGTTTTTCCAACCCGAGCCTCGATTTATGTTCAGATATACCAAAAGTTGTAAAACCAAACCGAAGGTCATTCTAGAAAAGTTAGCATTGGATTATTTTGTGCTGAAATCGTAGTTTAACCGTGGTTAAATCAGGCATGACACATTGCTCCAACTCGAGCCTCGACTTATGTTTACGAAAATCACCTACCGAATTAGATTATGTTAGGAGTTTTTCTATTGGACCGCCAATACAGTTCAATCGTAGTTCAAATGTGGCTAAATGAGGCTTAACACGTTGCTCCAACCCGAGCCCCAATTTATGTTAAGATATACCAAAAGTTGGAAAACCATACCGAATGTCATACCAGAAAAGTTAGCATTGGAGTATTTTGTGCTAAAATCGTAGTTCAATCATGGTTAAATCAGGCTTCATACGTTGCTCCAATCCGAGCCTCGATTTATGTTTAGAAAAACCAAAAATTGTAAAACCATACCTAAGGTCGTACAAATAAAAAGTTAGCATTAGAGTATCTTGTGCTAAAATCATAGTTCAATCATGGTTAAAATAAGGCTTGACACATTGCTCCAACCCGAGCATCCATGCATATTCAGGAAAAAAAATAAAAAATTGTAAAATCATACAGAAAGTCGAACCGGAAAAGTTAGCATTAGGGTATTCTGTGCTAAAATCATAGTTCAACTGTGATTAAATCATTTCATACAGCTAAAATCACCTATCGATTTGGATTACGCTTGGAGTTTTTCTATTGAACCTCTGCTAAAAACGATTACAAATCAAATACGAGTTAACAAACAATACATCTAATCCTATGAGAATCCACAGCAAAGCGCGGGACATATTCTACCCAGTACCTATAATCCAAATATAAAGCTAACCCTTCAAAAATAAAATAGAGAAACGAAAGCACATAAATAAGAGAAAAAAGAGAAACGAAATAAGGGAGCAACATGATTTTAAAACCAGCATAATGTAACAATTACATGATTCAGAAGCATATTAACGGAGGCTGTTTGAGCCAGCAAATGTGACTAAAGATTGAAGACCCGGACAAAGCTTCAATATAACTATTGGTAGACAAAATTTTACCAAGATGGCAAGCACAGACTGAGCATATAAGGCGAACTAGAGCAGAATGACGAACTTCAGAATGTCAACAATTACCCTTTAGCTGGATGAGTTGCCAATTTCCTTCATCTGCACCCTTAGGTACTCTGAGTTTTTTTTTTTTTTTTCCCCGCTGCTTGAGCTTCTCGACTTTGGCTCTCTTTCAATCTTCGGCAATCTGAACAAACAATTAAAGACGATTGTAAGTCACATCGTATATAGTGCACCTTTAGCCTTTGGGGAAGTGCCAAAACTAGAGCCTAATCTTTCTTTGGACTCACAGAAAGCAAATTGACCGCCACCAAATATACATGTGGTTATCGATTGCGGAGGTGCAATATCGACACAACAAAAGTACTAGAGCCTAATCTTTCTTTGGACTCACAGAAAGCAAATTGACCGCCACCAAATATACATGTGGTTATCGATTGCGGAGGTGCAATATCGACACAACAAAAGTAGCAGCATCTAGGTCAGTCTTACTTTCATGGCTCCATAAAGTCCTCTATTTTTACGTGACATCATCATCAAAGTCGTTCTATCAGTGTCTTCAGCGACCTGTTCCAAGTGGGGACGTGTAGAAAAACACGAAGACAAGATTTACGTGGTATCCCTGTTCGTTGTGAACAGGACTAATCCACGGTGAGCTCCAAAGCGCTCACGGCTGACGATTTTATTAGGGACTACATTGTGACGGCTTGCTTACAACAGGACCGTAGCTAAACTTTATATAGAGATGGACATAGGGTTAAAACCGGCCTAAGTTCAGGTCCTTAAGGCATATTTTTTAAGGAGGAGCTTAAAGCCTTGTGATTGGCTAACTCAATTTTAGGTAATTTGTGGGAGTTATTAGTTAAATAGTTGTTAGGGTATTAAGGAGACTACAATTAAATTAAAAACCGGCGTCTCTTTCTTTTCCCAACCCTAACCCACGTCTCTTTCTTTTTCCCTCACGGGTATTCAGAATTATTTTTCTTCTTATTATCAGTATACAACCATACAAAAAAGTGATGCATTATCAACAATTTTAGGTTTTGTTTGTGACTTCATGAAATGACATTATTAATGTTTTTTTTATGTTATTAATATTTTCCGCTTGTATTTTTAGTTGTTCAAACATGAGTTATTAATATATTTATATGCAATTTGTAATTTTTGACAGTGGTCCACAATATGACGCGTACAAAGAATACAACGCGTAAGGCTGCACCCCTTAGTAAGACGATGGAGAAGAAGAAGGCAGTTGCTCCCAGAGTTTATGACAAACAATGACGTTATTATTAATTATACCTTTTCTACGTCATTATTATTAACTATATCTTGTTGAGTTATTAACGCAATACGTTATCAAAATTTTCATCTACGTCATTGTCATTTTAACCTCTTTTATTAACATTTTTCACCTATACACTTATCCACACGCAAATGTATTTCTTTTTCACCTGTACATTCTTCACCCACTATTAATATTTTCAATGTCATTGGCAACATTTTTAATCGTGTGCTATTATTAATATGTCGGCTTGATTAACATGGACTATTATCAATTTGTGTTCATTATTAACATTTTTTTACCCATTATTAATGTTGTTCACTGCACTATCAACAATTTTACTATACTTCAGGAAGAGAGATTGGAGACGCCGAGGTCAACCGTGAAGGATTTGTTGCTGATGATCCACTGGTTCCTATTACTCTCATTGTCAATTGCAATGTCCACGACTGGTACGGAGCTATCATCATTCGAAGACTCATGTACCCAATTTCTACTTCTGAACTATGAAGACTCAAAAACACAAAAGATCAAGACGCGTGAATTTTATTTTATTTTTTTCTTTTCATATATGCAAAACAAACAACTCAACATCCATCCCCTCAGTATCCACTGCAATTTCATCTTGACTTCCTGCCAAATTGTTACCAACATTTTGCCCCTTGAGGTTTTAATCTCAAGGTATTTCATTCAAATCTGAGTATATATCGATATCAACAACGTTTTTAACCGTTTATAACTTCATCAAACAATATTATTAATCATTATTAACCTACCACAACACTATTATTAACAATATCATCTGGGTCATTAATTGGTAACTAACAACCTGTGTCAATATTCATGTACTAACTCGACCACGAAAATTTTATTAATGTTTTTATTTGTGTCAATATTCTCGACGCCATTATTAACAAATTAACGTTACAATTTTGATAATATTCAACAACGTCATCAAACAATATTATTATACATTATTAATCGACAATGCTATTATTATTATTATTATTATTATTATTATTATTATTATTAATCATATTATGGTGATTATTAACCGGCAACTATATCACTGTGACAATGAACGGAATCTTCAATTTGAGGTTTTCCAGCAACATTATTAACAAATTAATGTTACAATTTTAATAATATTCAACCACGTCGTCAACCAATATAATTATACATTATTAACCAACACCATTGCTATTATTATTCATATTATGATAATAATTAATTGGCAACTACATTGCTATGACAATTAGAGGAGCCTTCAATTTGAGGTTTATCAGCAACATTATTAACAAATTAATGTTAAAATGTTAATAATATTCAACCACGTCGTCAACCTATATTATAATACGTTATTTAACAATCACCCTATTATTATTAATCATATTATGGTAATTATTAATGACGAGAACCATTGAAGTTTGCTTCTCTATCCCCCAGAAGAAGAAAAAAACTGAAAAGATAGCTTGATTCGATCTTCTTGGTCCAAACTAATCACTTCTAATATAATTCCACCGACAAACTCTCCACTATTTGCTTATTTCATTCTGCTCACGGGGCGTGGACGATGAATTTAAATGGGAAGTCTAAGTTCCATCCCTCCAGCTCCTTCCGTCTCCATCCCTCCAGCTCCTCTTGTCGAAATTGCGAGAATAAGTATGAATCTTACCTTCTTCTTCTTCTTTTATTTATCAAGAACCACTTGATCTCAATAATTTGAGTTGTTGGTGTTAGACCAAGCTAGGTCAATAAAGGATACTTTTGACGTGGTCAATGCACAAATTAATTCAGATTTCAATAGTGAGAGATTAGCACTAGCTTGATTGAGCAATCCAAAAGGACTTGCCAAGAATCTCTCATGAAGTGATTAATTTGTTGGCACTGATTAATAGAACAAAGTTAGAGGAGGTATAAAGAGAGATGAGTCGGGACACGCGATTTTAACGTGGTTCGGCCAATATGGCTTTACATCCACGTTCCAGTTACTGCATATGCTTCATTCATCATAAAGCTCAAGATTAAAGAATGGCAGTCATTATTAAGAAAACAAATTACTTCATTCATCCTGAGTATAGCTCAGGGCATTATTCAATCAAAACACTCAATAGCGCAAATAAGAGACATGATTTAATACTCCCCCTGACTCAATCTAGACCTTAAGAGCAACAATTCAAATAAACCATTTAAAAACAGCAACAGCAACAACTCGAAACCCAAGCTCCCCCTAAACCTAAGCTCCCCCTAAATTAAGGCTTTTAATTATTTTGCTAGAGATCATGATTCTCATAGAGAACCACTCCTTGAGAATTTTTTTGATTATTGAGACGCTTGAGAGCTCTGTTAGAAGGACGAGGTCCTTTAGCCTGTCGCTTGAGCTTGAAGGGACGAACAGAAGCCGAAGCAGATGCACCACCATCCGCGGACGCCTCGTCTTTGGCCTCTTCGTCTCTTTCTCTAATAGCAGCGTCCGTGGCCCCATGATCATCTCCCCCTGATGATAAATCAACAATGGGAGGAAGTCCCACCACAGCAAGCACTTCGTCAATGGAGGGATGAACACAACCGTCAGAAATAGTGACAAAGTCAGCCAGAGGAACACCGAGATGATGCAGCAGCAACGTAATCAACCCAGCAAAGGGAAGACCAACACCGGGAGAGTCGTTGGCAGCAGCATCCACAATTGCCCCAAACAGCAGATGAGGATAGCTCAACAGCATATCAGAGATGGCGTGAGACATGACCCAGCAATCAAGAGGCAAAACAACATCCAAGCGGTCAGCCCGCGGAAAGTACACTCGGGTGATGTAGTAGTGGAGAAGCTTGAGTGAATCATCCAGCGAGTCAAAGGAGCGATTTGTGACCTCCGACGCAAGTCAAACTTGTACGACCAGAACTCCAAAGGACTAATGAGCTGCTTGCCTCTAGTAGGCAGAACGAGGAAATGCAGCAAGGTCATCAACCGAAAGAGTGAGCAAGTGACCATATACCAGGGTGGAGAATCACCCATAGGAAGCCAGCCTAGGTTGTCGATGAGGGTGATAGGATCCACAGAGTCGACAAAGGCGAAAGCATAGGGATCCAAGGTACAGATTGGCAGAATTGGCTTCTCAGCAAAAATCTGTTGATGACGGTGACGATTCTCACCAACCGGATGAGGATAGAGTGCCCCGGTAAAGGACACGATCCTCTGCTAGCGACGAAAGAGCGCTAGAGTCATGATAAACGAGTCGCCGGAGAGGAGACTCATGATCTCGTTTCAGCCAGAAATGTGAAGCAAGGAGATTATATTTTTTTTTAATTAGTATTATTATTATTACTGTGTTACTGTGCGATTGTGTTTCCTTTTTTTTAAATATTTATTGATTTACTTATATAGAAAAGAGAGTAAATAATCAAGACAGGTAAGATCAGGATCCAAAATTAGCAAGATCGGATTGGAAAATCATTCCTAACTCACTACGAATAAATAAAAATTGATCTATAGGTAGTGGTTTAGTGAAAATATCCGCTAGTTGTTCACTGGTAGGTATGAAGGAAATAGACACGGTTTTACTCTGAACTAGCTCTCTAAGAAAGTGATATTTAATCTCTATATGTTTTGTTCTAGATAACAGGGTCAAAAGAAGGCCATGAGAGTAAGATAAACCCCTTAGGATTTGACTATAGACATTGACAGGTGCTACACCAAAAGACATAAAAGACTTCAAAAGGCAGCCATCTCCGAGGTAGAGGGATTGCTCGAAGTAGGTGAACCATTAGAAACACCCTCCCTTATCCAGGTGTAAGGGCGTTTCCTCTTGCGCAAGGTGCTTTCATCACCTCGAACCTCCCTTTGGTAGGATCTTCATGAGCAACCGACAGAGATAGTGGCAGAGGCGCCAATACATCAAGGAGGACTTGGAGACGAATATAAAGGCCACTCGAGGCCACCGACCGGTGAATAGCCGCCGACACCACCTCTCCCAGCGCATTGCCAAGCTTTGACCCCAAGAGCACAGTACAACAGTCAGGAGGGATACCCCAAAGTTGAAGCATGAGAGGAACGTTTTGCAGGGAATCTGACACAGCCTGCGTGATAGGAACCCAACGAATGAGGTGAATCATGAACTTAGAAAGGAACCACGGAGAATTCCTCACAACTCGTTTCAAATCCCTCTCATCAGAAAATACAAACTGAATAAGCCCCAAATCCAAAGGTGAAGTGGAAAGGGAGCCCTTGCAACGCCAAACACCGGCCATGCGAGATTGAAGGATATTGATCGATGGAGCCGAGCCAAACACCCTTCCGATCAAAGTTAGGTCAGGACGCTCAGCTCCGACGACAATATCCTCATCATTGAAAACCACAATCCCAGCCTCCAACGGGTTAAATAGACGCAAAGAGTGACAAAGAATGGTCGTACAAAACGACAACGCATCTAAGATGGACTTTTCTAAGAGGCAAAAGGCCACTAGAATAAAATAATTGTAAGCCCAGTAGCCCCCAAGGATAAAATCCAAGCCAGCTCAACTCAAGAAGCGCCTGGAAAAATAAGGCCTAGCCTTACCCACGTGACCACTTATGATACATCAAGATAAGGATAATCGTGATGACGACGTTGATACAGGTACACCTCCCACATCCCCAATGACAGACCCATCTGCAGGACACTTGTCCAATCGACGGAGACTCCGAACTCCGAAGCTGGTGACGGTGTTTAACCTAACGAAAAGATGCCCGGAGCGGCAGCAGCCCAGTGGCTGAACGCCGATATTGGCGATTTCGCTCGGAGGCGATAATATTCTCTATTAAAACAAACATACCTCTCAGTCGTCGATGACGAACATGATTCTGCTGGCGGGAATCACTTTGATTTTTCTCGATCACAAGATCAGGGACGATGAACTCGATTTGGGGAATCTAAGAGAGCGACGCCATTACCCTCGACGAGAGGATGGGCGAAGCGGCCCGGACTGGTTGCATCGCTTTTGAGATGTGCCCAGAGTTGATGTCGTGGAAGTAACTGGATGGCTGAGCTTCTGTTTCTTTCCTTTTCCTGGAAATAAAATCCCAGTTTGAAAACATATCAAAAGCTAAGCAAAATCAGAACTCAAATCAACCAACCCAATTCCAAAATTAAGCATGCATTAAAAAATCGAATAAGAATTGCTAGAAGAATGGATTAAATCGGCCGAATTGGAGCAGAGAAATCCATATCCCTTGTCCAAAGGGGATTTCAGCGGAATTTTCAACGCTATCCAGTCCCTGTTATTGAAAACCCCAAGAAATCGAAAACCCCCAAATCGAAACAAACACTACTCTATATCTCCTCTGTTTTCCATCTCCGATCATTTCATTGGTGAGGACAGTTGTTTTATCAAACATCGGGCTTTTAATCTTTAGTGGAACCGGATCTGATGTTAGAAATAAATGACTTTATTTTCTCAATTTTTCTTAATTGATTTTTATTTTTCGTATAATTTGGAAATTAAAACTTTTTTTAACAAATTGACCGTGTTCGTTGTGATTTTCAAAATGAGATCATTTTCATTTTTCAATATATTTTAAAGAATAAAATTGATACAATTCTTTACCACCTTGGTATCACTTTTGTTTTTAACTCGAATTTAAGAAAAAAAATTATCAAAAGAAATGAGATCATTGTGATCAATTAGATATAAAAAATTTCTGGACCAAATAAACCACCATGTACCACCTTGGTATAGGGTGATAACTGGTGGTAGACAATAATGAAATGTGTTAAATGACAGTTCACTACCATGTATACAACTATTATACACTATAATATATTCATATCATTCTTGTACACTTCTATATACATGGTATAACTTAGGGTTGGCTATTGGTCCGGGATTTTTGGTTTTACCTGAAACCGGACTGTATAACCCCGACCGGATAGTAAACAACCCAATCCAATCTTCGGGCCTAGATTTAAGGTAAAAAATCGTTTGGGACCGGACCGAAAATCGGATAAATACCGGATAAGAGAGCCCAACACCCAAAATTTAACCTCCTCACCCTTTCAGGCTTTAGGCCACTGAAATCCCCACAAGCTCAATCTAAAATCAAGACCAAATTGGGACCGGACCGGATCACAACCGGACTGGATCCAATCCAATCTTTGGTCCTTATATTCTCAAAAAGACCGGACTGGAACAAGATTAATTCGGGTCAATTTAATTGGACCGGACCATATTTGTACTTTTTTTAATTGACGATCATAGTTGTACTTTTTTTGCATGCGATATTTGGATTCACACCTATTCTAAAAAATGTTTCTCAATTAGAGAGTTGCAAAACTTCTGATAATGTTATAACTGTGGAAATAAATTTGCAACGGTGGTACCCGCCCGAATTTGACTTAATCAAATATGGTAAAATTCGAACTCGAGTGATTTTTAGTGGGTGTGAAAAAAATTGAATATGAATATTGCGGTAATGGGTGGGCATGGTTTTGTCACTATGCAACCTAAATCTCCTCGATTATGGACATGCATATATATTTTTTTCTAGAAAACTCATTATTTTTCTCTATAACCTTGATTTTTATTATACATATATAATATTTTCGTGCAGTTGTGTTGTTTTAACTAATTTTGTTCATTTTAGTGATTTTTATTGTCATACGCAATGTCATTATACGAGTGAATCTTAACATGTTGGTTAAAAAAATATATAAAGAAAATTTATTGCCCATGTAAACCCAAATCATCGAGAATGGGCATGATTTTAATTTTTTGCTCGATTCTTGTGTGAATGAGTATGGGTAAAACCAAACTATTCTAGGTAGGATAATGGATATGCACTATCCGCCTCCGACCCAATCGATTTCAATTCTTAATTTTCATTAATCCTTTTCCCTTTTGTTCATTTGATAGAAATTAGGATGACAAAATTACCGTTGGTACTTGGTACCCAAATGAATTTGAATAATTTTATTTGAAAATGTCCAATCAATAAGATATTTTGGGGGTTTACCTCAAACTCAACAAAGAAAGTAATGTTTTTTAGTATTCCTTCCAAATTCAACCGACTATTTACTACAAGCGCGTTTTAGATTCCTTCACTTCACCCATTAGAACACTCATATCTTTAAGATTTGATTTTTATTTTAGACTTTCACTCTTGCTTATTTATATTCATTTATCCAAAAATATATTTAAAATTCGTCAACATCAATATCTGAAAGAAAAATATTGCGCAGCATCGAGAACTATTTGCTAGGTTAGTTTTGGCAATGTCATATTATAAAAAAAAAATTCTACGAGGATGATTACTATTTAATCATGGTTCAATGCTGATATACAAAAATAATTGTTATATAACTTCATCAATAAAAATTGATACAAAAATAACTGTTGTATTTTGTTGCTTCAATTCAAACTATATGTTGCTAGGTTATATAGTAGATATCAGCCCTACACCGGAATAATCTATTAATGGTTTGATTTTGTGTTCGGTGCATTCAATTAGAATAATGCATTAACTACTTGTGATTTTATGTTATATCATCATATTAAACTCATGTTACCAATCAAACTCTAAAATTAGATGTCTTAAGACTACTTTTAAAATTGGGTGAATAGTATATACGCATTTTTGTAATATAAGATGTGATGATGTTATCGTATTAAAATAAAATAATACACACAAATGACTAACCAACAAAGTAAAAATTTAAAAAGCAACTGCATGCCATTGCAGAGCTTGGCCGCCACCTATCTAGTTCTATTTAAATGAGTTGTTGTGATTACCCCCATCTCTTACTTTCATCTCTTTTGTTAATGTCACAAGTGAGAAAAGGTCATTGGTGCAGGCTTGACACATTACTCCAACTCGAATATCGATTGATGTTAAGAAAAATAAAAAAATTGTAAAAACAAACTGAAAGTTATATCGGAAAAGTTAGTATTAGGATATATTGTGCTAAAATCGTGGTTCACTAGTGGTTAAATCAGGCTTGACACAATACTCCAAACCGAGCCTCGATTTATGTTGAGAAATGAAAAATTGTAAAATGATAACTAAAAGGAAGGACCCGACTAGGGTTCTTCATAAGTGTAGAGTAGAAGTGGTAGTTGTTATTGAGACAAGAGTTAGGAAAGTAAAAGCAGAGGAAGTTGTAGAGGGTTTTTGCCAGGACAGGAAGAGACATCTAAATTATGTTGATTCTGAGCTTGGGAGAGTATGGTTATTTTGGGATCCAGAAGTGGTGGATGTAAGAATTTTGCTCACGGGGAAACATTTTGTGCATTGTCTAGCTACTTCGGTTAGTGGGGAGTCATTGTTTTTCACTACGGTTTATGGCTCTAATGATGAAATGGAGAGGAGGCAGACTTATCAAGAATTAGCTCAAACAAAGATCAGTGGTATTCCATGGCCAGTGAGTGGAGATTTTAATGCGGTATTGGCACCTGAGGAAACCTCTAATTTGTGTGTTCGAACTAGTTGTATGGATGATTTCACCAAATGGGCAGCTGAAATGGACTTAATTGATCACAGAATGGTGGGGCCTCAATTTACTTGGTCAAATAAACATGTGAATAATCTGATAGCTAAGAAGTTGGATAGAGCATTAATCAATGAAGGTTGGTTTGATGCATTCCCTGAATGCAGAATTGATTTACTCACTGCTTCTTTTACTGATCATTGTGGTGTGCTGGTAGCAACTAAGCCAGGTCAGAAAACACTCCCTAAACCATTTAAATACTTTGAATTTTGGGCAGAGGACCCACAGTTCCTCCCTTTAGTTCAAAAAGCTTGGGAGTTGGATGCTCAGGGATCCCCTATTATGGTGGCAAAGGCTAAACTGAATGAGGTGAAGAGGGTGTTGAAGAAGTTTAATAAGGAAGTTTATGGGGATCTAAGTGGTCAGGTGAGAAATTTAGAAGCTCGGCTTAATTTAGTGCAGATTAATGCATTGGATGAGCCTGGGGAACAAGTGTTTCAGGAGGTTGCTACTCTGGAAGCAAAACTGAGGGAATTGAAGAAGGCTGAAGAAAGCATGTATAAACAAAAATCAAGGGTTGACTGGCTTGCTCTGGGTGAATGTAGTACTAATTACTTTAGGTTTGCAGTGAAAATTCTAAATGCCAAGAAAGCAATAAGGAAGTTGGTGACTGATTCTGGTCAGGAGTTGCTTGATCGTGAGCAGATTGCAGCCGAGGCTGTGCACTTTTATTCTTCTTCTTTTGGTAAAGTGGATTCTCAAGTGCATCCAAATAGGGAGAAGCTTGAGAGTTTAATTCATAAGAGGTTGTCTGATGATGAAAGAAGCTTTCTTTGTCTATCCTTTACTCCTGAAGATATGTGGAAAGTAGTTAAGCATATGGATCCTCATAAAGCCCCCGTGCCAAATGGTTTCTCTGCAGGGTTTTATAGGAAAACCTGGTCTATTATTGGAGGGGATATTACAACTGCAGTACTTGATTTCTTTCATTCGGGGCACCTTCCAGGTAGTGTTAACTCTGCTGCCATTACTCTCCTGCCTAAAATCCCTTCAGCTTGTGCTCTTAAGGATTTCAGACCCATTTCTTGCATTAATCTTCTTTATAAGATAATCGCAAAGTTGCTAGCAACTCGTTTGAGGAAGGTTCTCCCCTCAGTAATCAGTGGCAATCAATCTGCTTTTATTGAGGGTAGAAGAATTATTGATAATATACTTATGGCCTAGGAATTGGTTAGTGGATATCATAAAAAGCAGTTGTCATCAAGGTGTGCTATAAAAGTTGATTTGATGAAAGCGTTTGATTCTGTTAATTGGGAATATCTCTTCTTAATGATGTCTGTCATGGGTTTCCCTAATCAATTCATTAGATGGATATCATTGTGTGTCAAAATTGCTCGTTTTAGTATATGTGTGAATGGTGGTTTGTGTGGTTACTTTGGGGCTAAGCGTGGGGTTAGACAAGGGGATCCTCTATCCCCTTATCTATTCACTATTGCCATGGAGGGTTTGACACTTACTCTTAATGCTGCGGCAAGTTCTGGTCTTATTCCTTACCACCCTCAATGTAAAAGAGTCTAGTTATTAC